ACACAGACAGCACCAACAGCCTCATCCTGCTCCCCTCCCATGCAGAGCAGCATGGAGATCCACTAGTGAGAATATATGTATGTGTAGACATGTATACAGTGTGGGTCCCTCCATCAGCTGGGTTTATACACTCAGTCTTCCCAGCAGCAGACCCTGGATCCCTGTCTCCCCAGTTGCCAGCACCTGGACATACAAAGCTCCACCAAATGTTGACCTGTGGTGATGGGTTTCACACCTGGACTGTAGTGGTGAGACTCTCCTGAGACAGTCCTGAGAGGGTCCTGGATGTGGTATCCCTTCTACTGAGTCCTTTATTTGGGTTCTCACCTACCCTTGTGTCCCTGTGCTCCTTTGAGTTTGTGGATGTGAGCCTTTGACAGGCTCATGGCTTCTGCCTGGAATAGGCTTCCTGCCTGGAAGCAGCCAGGGCCAGGCTATTATTTGGGCTTTTCCACCTGCCATTGTCTCTCTGTGCTCCTTTGTGGATATGCAGATGAGCTTGTATCACATAATTTAATGTGAACAAGCTAGTTTGCGGAACAGTACCATCACATCAGTGCTCCCATATTGCTCTGTGCTAGCTACCTTGGCTAGCTGGGGCTGGTATTTCTGAACCCCACTCCATCATGCTGTGCAATACTCCTTGTAACCTGCCCACATGAGCACCCACAGACAACCCACCATTGGTGCCTGGGCAGTTATTTGAAGCTCTTGCATGTTCAGAGATGCAGGATCACATTGCTACACAAAGTTCTCTATTAAACTGAGTCTTTTACAGACCTCAAGCAGAGTCTTGTCTGAGAATAATTGTCATCCTTTAAGCTTGTTAACTGGTCTTTTCACAAAAGATGATGTGCTGCAACATAGACCTGCAACACAGACATTACCTACTGCTTCCTCTCTCTCATGAAGGTGCATTTGACTATGCTTGATCATAACCAGAACTGACATTTAATTTTTTGGCAGGCTTGGAGGGAGGTAGTGTGTGATAATAGTGTCTTTGGTCTTTATAATGGTGTGTTCACCATTTTAAGCATTGTAATATTCTCTTTGAAACCTGTATGCTCATGAGAGATGAGGTAAGAGCAGATAGCTTTGCCTAGGCAACACTGATTTTATTCTCTTCTTCAGTAAATGGCAGTGTTAGAAGTGGCAGTAATACAAAATCTAGTTATACTCTATTGAACTAAAAAGCAATATTTTCAGAATAATATTTTGTGTACTAACAAGTATTACAAGGTGTTTCCTAGGAAAAGAACTAGGTAGCATGGTAATACTGAAGCAGTGTGCATATGGACATATGCTAGTGTGAACTGTTTAACTTTGTCTTTCCTTTAGGCTTCATATCAAAAAAAGAGGATTTTTGTGTTCAAGGCACAAAAGTGTGTTTTGAACATTTTTTTCACATAGTATTGCATTCCATCAAACAACGGAAAAAGCCTCCATGTTATCTTTGGCAGTCCTCTGTCATGATAGCCCAAAACTCTTTTGGAGATATATTGGTGTAACTTTAAAGTACTTTGAACCGGTAGTGGAAAATACAGCACTATTTTAAGGTGGGCAAAGAGCATTGCTTTAGTTAGCATTCAGCAAGTGCTGTTTTCTGACAAGGAATGTAACAGAATTGTAGTACAGGGAGAACAAGTCTTGTGTTGATCACTGAAAGCAATGGATCATTGAACTACTGCATTAATCTGTCCCTCTGGTGTCTATACATTATAAAAATTCAAGCTTGTTACAGATTGGCTGCCTATGATACAACTAGAATGTGAATGATTTACCGGGTAAATTACTATTGACATGCAACACATCACTGAGACTGAACAAGAATTTCTGTATTCAGTTTACTGTAAACATCAGCTTTGCTTTCCATGTCTTCAGTCTTCCTGAGACTAAAGTTCTTTACAAGGACAACAGTTTGAGTTTTGGACTAATCAGAAGCCTTGGTCATTTGAAAGGTCATATGCAAGGAACAGCAAAATCTCTTTTTTAAATGATCTGTATGTTGGCTTTCATGGAGAATTGTGGGAAGCAAATTCTATAGAAGCCATTAGTGGAAATGTATGTCTGAAAGAACATAACAGCAATAAGCCTATTATATTCTTTGAAATATCCAAGCTCCTACTGATGGGGTTGGGTGGGCGTACATTTGACTGATTTTCACAGTCATTCAGTTGTATTTTTGCACCACAGAGTCTTTTGCAAAACATAAGCCCTTGGAATTGTCATCAAGGACAAGATCTCTTCTCTTGTTGCTTAAAAAATTCTTTATAACTAGAAAATGAGATATAAACAAAACTGGGTAAAAAAGTCTAAGAATAAAGTCAGTCACTTTGGTAATGAGGAGCATTTTAATGCACAGGTTCATAGTTCATAGAATGAAAAGTCACATCTGCCTGATGTAACATGAAGGGGGTTACATTCTTAAGCAAAGAAATTAATGTAAGGATCTGGAGGGAAAGTCTGCAAAACAAGGCTGAAAGTGTTATCTTTACACTGATGTGATGATATTTCTCCAGGTTGTACTTCTTCATGCATCAATTTCTTACATTGCACTTTTGCAGAATACACAAGTAATTCCTTCTGTAAAGCTTAATGATTTTACTGTATATTTTGATTTTGAAACATCTGCAATTTCTTGCTGCTGTAATGGGAACAAGTTGACCCCAACTCATAACTGTTCAAAGCTAAGCTCTTTAGAGTCCTTAATGGACTAACATCGTCTGACGTTTGAGCTACTAGTATTTACAAAGTTGCTATGGTGACCAATGTATTTCTGGTTAAAAAAAAAAAAAAAAAAAAAAAAAAAAAAAAATTCACCCTGAAGTCTGGGACTCCCTCGACTTCAGTGCCGATCTTTGCATCGATCCATTAGACAATACTCTAAGAAACAAAAAGTATGCCCAAGAAAAATGCTACTCAAAAGCCAATCTTGGATAAAAAGTCAAACAATGGGTGTTGCAATTTCTCCCGGTCCTACTTGCGAAGCTGTGCTGGGGAGGAGAGCTTCATAAACACAGTAGCCACTAGGTGCCACTATAAGCACGGCCTTATATTTAGAAATAAGATATTCTTTTTCTTTAAAAAAAAAAAAAAAAAAAAAAAAAAAGAAAATTCTATTTTGCTTAACCACAAATTCCAAAAGAACTCAGCATAGTTCCTAAAGAACATTTCTACCAAATGAATGCATGTTGCCTTTTTTTTTTCCTAAGCAATTGTATCATTAGAACAATGTAAGAGTACAGGGAAGTCTGACCTCTGCTTTGGTCACAGTACCTTATGATCCCCTACTCAAATTACTATAAAACAGATTTAAGATAGCACAGTGTCCATTTCCAGAAGGAAAGATCCAGGCAGGCTCAAGGGAACAATCTGTAGCACAAAATGCCTGGGGCTTGCTCCAGCTTCCTCTTGGTCATTCTGATGAAGTAAAACAACCCTAAAGTCAGTGTGATCCTTCCCCTTAAATTCCTCTGCCCAGCGCTGCGAACCCATCACACATGGCTGAAAGGTGCTTTGACTCATGCAGAGGAGTCTGGGCCTGTGGGCAATGGTGTTGGACCCAGGGCTACAAAGACAGTTGTGGCAGTTTTTGCCCATGTCCATCCCTCTGGTCTTGCAATGAGCAAAGCCAACTGGGGAGATTCGATCCATTTTCTGTCTTTCACTAGAAATGGTTGTCAGACTACATCACGATCTTTTTTTCTGCATGAAACCTTTTGCAGACAGGGATCTGAATATGTAGAGATAACAGCTGTGATATGAGAAGGGGTCACTAATGAACTTAGCAGCCACACAAACCAGCTTCCAAAACAATTAAGCAACAGATTTTTGAAGCTATTTCACCTTTTCTCAGAGAGACCTGGGGCCCTGATACACAACAGGATTCCCTTCCAGGGCACCGTCTCCTAAATGTGTAGTTAAGCAGGTTAGTTTCTATTTCAGTGTGGTTTTTGTAAGCTCTACATCTTTTTCTCTCTCCGTTCATCACGTGGGCATAGAAGAGATATTGATATCCTACCGAGCACCTGGCTCAGAGCCTAAAGCCAGACCTAGTCACAAGTCCAAGGCAAAGGCTAAATGCTTAGAGTGAGCTTGCTACACCCTGTTACCTTCAAAGGCAGGCACTGCTCTCAGTTAGAGGGTGGTGGCCAGCAACATCACTCCTGGATGAGCCTGCAGCCAGGACGTGGAGCTTTGCATCCTGCAGAGCAGGTGTGAGTATCAGCAGAGTGGTGGCACTCAGAGACTGGGAGGCGCTACCAGTATGGTCCCTAGTTGCCCATGAGCTGCGTGACATTCAAATTGCTTAAGAGAGCTTTGTAGGGTAAGCTGTTTCACCACCAGCACTCAAGGTCCCATGGTGTTTTGAGGCCTCGGATACTCCAATTCAGCTGCAGTGATAATTGTATAATTGTAAAATTTAAATGGAAGATAAATCAAAGTTCAAACTCAGCCCTCTGTCCACGGCTTAACGCACAATGTAAATGTTGCTGTCATCCCAGTGGGTCAAAGACCTCTAGTAGAACATGCAGGAGAACAACAGAAGGAAGACAGAATGGCTTTGAAGTTTTGCTGATAAATTTAGATACTGATTTTAAAAGGTGAACAATAAGATGTTGATTTTGTTTCAAAGCTCTGGTTTAAGGTGGTAAGGTTTGCAGTAAAATGTGAAAACACTGGTTTTTTCATTGTGTGGGAGAAAGTGTGACCACTTCTTTCTAAAAATATGGGAAGAATGTTGATGGCAGGAGAAAATACTGAAAGACTGTCTTGTTTTAACAAGCAAAAGTAAAACCTGTGTTGATATTATTCCTGTAATAATAATTCTGACAGATAATCCTTACTTTATTTGAAATCCAGAATTAAAAAGATTCATGTTACCCTAGATGTCAAAATCAGTATTTTCTTTTCTGTCTTGTTACAATTCTGTTTGAAATTGATTTAAGGAGCATTTGCGTTGCTTTGACTTCTCTCTCTCTCTCTGTCTCTCTTTTAAGGTCAACTCAAATCAAAACATACTCTTGGGATAATGCCCAGGTTATTTTGGTCGGTAACAAATGTGACATGGAGGATGAACGGGTAATCTTCACTGAGAGAGGCAAACATTTAGCAGAGCAACTTGGTAAGAAAAAAAATGAAAAAAGTTTTATGATTGCTTGTGAGAATGCACAGCGTAATGTCATTAATTGCTACAGTACTGCTAATGAAACATTGGTGATACATTCACTGTAAAGGAATAGTCATACACTGCCTTCCTTTGTTTCTGCAGGCTGAGGTCTGAACTGTCCTTGTTGATATCACTAATAGTGTAATAACATGAGAATGGACATGTGTCCAGGAATGACCTTTTGCAGAGCTATGACTTGTCTGTCATCTAAAAGCGTCCACAAAACCAGAGGCTGGCTTAGACTAAAGATATATCTGATAGAATGTTCCTTATACTGCTCCTTAGATAGGAAGTACATCATGGCCTTTGTGATAAGCAGCAAGATCAGGCATATGTCTGTATATATACAATATGTTTAGATAGCTGTAGCTGTAGGCAGATACATCCTAGTCGGGGAAAAAATTAAAAAAAATAATCAACCACAACACCAGCAAACCAAGAAAAAAAATGAGGAGAGGAGAGACTGAAGAAATAACTTACTCAAAAATGTGAACTAAGACCTTTCTGCAGGTTGAGAACATTTGGGTTATGATTTCCAATACCGACAATTCAAAACAGAAAGATGTCGGTATCCAGCTCCCACTGCTAACAGCTCACCTGCTGCACATTTACACAGGTGTAAATAACATGAACCTCCATTTCATAAAGTCTCCCTCTGGGAGGCAAATGTTTTCCATCAAGAAAATTACAGAGCTGTGAAGATCTCTGTTCTTTCTGTTTCTGCCCAGCAGTGATATCCTTTCATGCCGTGAAATTTTTTTTGAGGTGACACTGGCCAAACTGTAATGGAAAATCTCCAGAGCATCATCATAATACTACTACCTAGTCTGCTTTTCCTTCAAATTTGTTGGTCCCTGCAGAGCATGCTCAGCAGGAGTGCAAATCAAGCCCTGATATCATTGGAGGCTAATATCTGTGCTGTGCTGGACATGGGTTTGTCATTATTTTTAAAAGGTAAAGGCTCCGTCTGGTGGACATGTAATGAAGATCTCCTTGTCACTGTTCCTATATAGGTGTTTAGAGCAAAGGGTGTTATAAGAGTAACTTCATAGGAAACAGAAAGAAATTATGCATTTCGTAGTATGCCACCTGTGCTGGATCTAATCCCATACTGGTGGTTCTTGTATATTCCCGTATATTCATTGTATATTCATTTATGTATATTCACGGCTCATTTACCTTTTTTTTTAAAGCAATTTTTCTAGTTGTATAATTGCTTGTCCTGGTAATTAATTTCATCAGAATAACATATTTTCCTATCCTATTTGTCTAAATAAGAATTATGTATGTGTTAAAGCACACCTCGAAAGTATACATTAAAAATGACCATAAATTAGTCCTTGAAAGTTGACAGAAAAGATTTAGAAGCAGTTTAGGTGCAGAAAAAATGCCAACCTTTGTGAAGAACTGAGTCTTTAAAAATCTTTGCAACAAACCCAAAATGGTTACCATTGCATCTCCTTTGAGAGGATTATTTTTTGCAGAAATATCTGTCACATTTTATATATTTCTGTAGTCTGTTCTTCTGTCTGTAAACATTTCTAATATTTATTCATTTTAATAGGAGCTAGGGAAGTGTATTCAATGAAAAAAGAGATCAAAAAAATGTAACTGTATACTTTCACCCCAAATTTACACCAGGCACTAAAATGTCTGGCAATAAACAAAAATTTGCTATGTAGAATTTAAAGGTTTTTTTTAAAAAAAGTCACGTAGCTAATCTGAATTTTTATTCCTTGAACTATTTTCCTATAGAAAGATAGATGCAGTGAGTTGACCAGGAATCCCCAAGGTCATGAATTTGGCAAGACAAGAAGGAATTTTGCATGTTGTACAGTCAAGAATCCTCAGCTGTAATAACCAGTGCTGCACAAAGAAAAGTAATGAGATAGATATCAAAACTCATGTTTCAAGCTTTAAAGCAAACTTTAACTCCTGGGATTTAGAATTCAATCTTTATGGAAGCGGATTATCCTCTATTCCCATCTTTATCTGCTCTGGGATTTTCCTTTTTCAGATATACATCCTGTGGCTATCTCAAGGGCAGATTATTGTATTGGATAAATTGTGGCTCTGATCCAGTATGTCATTTACTGTATCCAGACTGCACACACAAATGTTTATATGTTTTCTGTACAGCTGCAATCATTTCTCCAATCTGTTCAGAAGCTGTGGGAGGTGGTGTCAGGGAAAGCAGAACAAGTTTCCCTGAATTGTAGTAAGTGCTCTGGCCATGTTGGCCATTTTGAAGGGCCCAAGTTGGAAAGTTGGAAGGTGGCACAAACACTTGGAACTGCCTTTTCTGTCTCTGCCAATGAGTTGATAACATCTCTTGCGGGCAAGTTTTAAAAATAACAATACAGATTTTTGTGTCCAGCAAGGCATTTTAAGACTGTGAGTCCTTTGAGTGCCATGGTCTGCAACATTGATTAAAGCCACAATTACAAGCGAGCACAACACACGAGTGCTGTACAAAGAGCACATTGTGAAACACTCTGTTCTCAAGTGTGGTTTTATTTTTATTTTCATCCTTGGTTTATTTGAAGTCATTGAGAAAATGAATACATGTACATTTTGGACCGGGTTTTCAAAAGGTCAAAAAGAGCATTGGACTTTTAACCCCCCAGGAAATATGGTGTCCTGTTGAGAATAGTATTATTGGAAAATTGTGCCTTTTTTGTGGCTGCTGACTTTGAAAAGTGTGGCCTTCAGTTTTAGTAAAGAACTGTAATCAATCATTTCTTTAAATCTCAGTGCTGGCTTATTTCTCAACCCAAACAAGTGATTTAGATCAACCAGAAATAGGCCTCGTTACTTGTGAAGGTCTGGTTAAACTAGCCAAGTATCATGTGGTAGTTCTGGGTACCTCTCTTGTAACACTAACTGAAGTTCACAAAAGGAGGGAAGGAATGGTTAAGAAAACCAGATCTGACCTTGAAGGGAAATTAACAAAAAGTTTATGATGACAGAATTTGTCTCATTTCCACTTTAGATTTTTTAAAATTTTTTCTTAATGACATAGGGCATGACACTGGCAGTACCATCACAGATCATAGCTGCAAGCAACCCACTCCCTTACCTATGGTAATGGCCAGAAGCAGGTGCCTCATGAAAGGTATAAAAGGACAAACAAACACTGATACTATCCCAGACTGTAGCAAACTATGTTCATGGGTCTCATGAACCAGAGGCAATATTTTTATACTCAATAGCCCTTTCATTATTTTTTTGCATGGACTAGTCCAATGATGTCTTTGAAATGACATAAAATCTTACCATCCACAAAATTCTTTAAATAGGCAAAGTTGATTCAAGTTACCTGCTTCTGCTTCAAATTGGCCACATGCTAGTTTTATCTGATGTTTCTTCACTGTTATATTCTGGGAAACAGTGAGCAATTGTTTTCTGTTACCTGCTCTGCCACACCACTGGTTTCAGAGACCTCTATCATACCCCTCCTTTTTCTCCAGGCTGAGGTGTCCAAACACAAAGAGCATGTCACACCTTAGCCATTCCGTATCACCCTATTTAGTATTTTTTGTAAGTGGTACATCCTTTTCATGCTTCAGAAATTAGTTCACGGTTGTTTAACAATGGATGGTTAGCATCATTAAAAGAGTAATGTTAGAACGAGGTAAAAAAGGATCAAATAAATTCAGCTGAGTCAGGTAACTTTACCTCACAGGTATCATACCGAGAACATATAGAAATGTGACAAACCAGCTAGTAGAGAGAACCAATTAATGTAATGTTCGTATTGATACAGGAATCACAGCAAACACACTTAAACAAGCGTACTTGCTAATCATTACAAAAAAGGGCATGGAACATAATGCTTATGCTATTTTGTCTTGTCATGAATGTTCGCTCTGAGTACTACATGCACTGGCTATTGAGTGAAACCCCGATATAGTCAGTACTTACATTCTTTAAAGCATTTTAATAAAAAAGGCTTGAAACTTCTTGAAAGCAAAATGCATGCACACTTGCCAGCTGCATCACTCTCACAGCTTTTCCGGCATGTTCATCTCGTTCATCTCAGCTGAGTTCAAAGCTTCGTACGTTCATTAACGTTTGGTGTCAGTTGTCAGAACAGAAATAAAAAGAATGACTCAGAGATGGCATGAATTTCTTAGTTCCTTTTATTTGTGATCTGTACGATATAATGTGATCTATATCCTGACAAAGGATTAGCAGGCTGAGGTGTGCACAGAGCTTTGAATAGACTCTGAGTAACTGCGCACTCAAATGGACAGTTGCATCTATACTTAGACATGCAGTTTCTCCCTTTATGACATTTTGCTGTGCATGCAAGTTAGGTACTTAATTTTGTATGTGTTCTTTGGCTGCTCATAAGCTTCTGTACAGTTTGTGTTTGCAATGTGCCTGCTACAAATTATTTAAACACTCATTAGTTTTTAATTGCAAGTACTGCCATTACGGAGTATATTATATCTTTAATATCAGGCTCCCACCTCTAAGGTTGCTGAAAAAGTGCAATCCTGCTGTAGGTCCAAACCATGCCTGTTGTGCTCATGCTGCACTGGGTACTAGGGGGGTGCTGCAAGGTCTGCCACAAATGTCTGGCCACCTTTTCTGTAAGGTCCTGTCTATTCTATCTCCCCTTTTTGGCTCAGGTTGGTTAAGGCTCTGGAAAACAGAGCTGTTGTATGGTAGAAATGTCAGCTGGACGGGACCTCTGGTGATTATCTGGTGTGATGTCCTGCTAAAATCTGCCTCTGGCTCTAGATTCTGCCCAGCAGTTTTCAGGGCAGTGCTCTTCCCTGATTCCCTGAGACTTTCAGTGCCTCCACGTTTCTTACACTCTGCCACCCAGGGTTACCTGTGGCTGGGGGCATCCAGCACGTCTAAGCAATGCCTTAGGGTGCACTCACCTGCTTTCTAAACATATCCTGGCACACTGTCTCTCCCGGAGGCCACCAACCAATGCCAGA